CGACAGACCCGGAACGGGGGGAACCGGGAGCGCTGTGAGGGACAGACTGACAGACCCGGAACGGGGGGAACCGGGAGCGCTGTGAGGGGCAGACTGACAGACCCGGAACGGGGGGAACCGGGATCACTGTGAGGGACAGACTGACAGACCCGGAACGGGGGTCCCGGGGCCTCGGAGCCCTGCGAGGGACTGACAGACCGACCCGGAACGGGGGCGACCGAGAGTGCGACAGACCGGTGCGCAGGTGGGTGGGGTGTCGCGATAGGTGCTGACATGATGAACGAGTCTCGATAGGTGCTGACATGAACAAGTCGCAATAGGCGCTGAAACTATAAACAAGTCGCGACAGGCGCTGGCACGATGAACAAGCCCCCTGCTCGGTCAGGAGGACCTGCGTAGTGCCAAAGGGTCGCTGCTTGGCAGATTTCCTTGGGTTTTTTATTATAGCCGAGCTGCGGAGTGTTTTGTAAGGGTGAACTTAGAAGGTTCCAAAAGAGCCGTGAGGTGATGGGGGGTCCCGGGGGTCTCGAGTCCAGCGCCCTGCTCAGAGCAGGGTCGGCTCTGAGGTCACCCCAAGGGCTCAGGACTTTGTCCAGTGGGGACTTTGAGAATGGGAGACCACACAACTTGTTCCTCGGTCCTTCTGTCCTCCTGGTGAAGGGGTTTCTCCTTTGATCCAGTACAGCCTTCCCATGTTTCAGCATCTGCCCGTTCTGTTTCATCACCACTGTGGTGAAGCTCATTGCAATACTTGTGTTATATTCGTTTGCTGAAATTGAGGTGAAAGAGAAGTGATGGTCAGTTTTATCTGTATTTCCAGGTCTGTCACATGTAAGCAAATAGATCCATGTTTTCAGGCAGGATTACTGTGTGACTGCAGGTTCATCCATCCCAATGGCTCTGCAATAAAAGCTACTTGTAGATTGGCCAGACACAGTAGAAAAGGAGGCTCAGGGTTGACCTGACCCCTCTCTACAACTGCCTGGAAGGAGGGTGTAGGAAGGTGGGTTTCAGCCTCTTCTCCCAGGCAAATAATGACAGGACAGGAGGAAATGGCCTCAAGCTGTGCCGGGAGAGGTTTTAATTGGACATCAGGAGGAATTTCTTCACGTAAAGGGTTGTTAAACATTGAAATGGACTGCCCAGGGAGGTGGTGGAGTCCCTGTCCCTGGAAGTGTTTAAGGAAAGACTGGACGTGGCACTTGGTGCCATGGTCTAGTTGACAGGGTGGTGTTTGGTCAGAGGTTGGACTCAATGATCTGAAAGGTCTTTTCCAACCTATTTGATTCTGTGATTCTGAGATATTTTTCATGTGATTTACAGGTATGTTCAGCCTTCTGCAGGAGGTAACAACTGAGGGGATTTATTTCTTTGCTAGGAAAGTATGTGCTCACATAGAGCAAAGCAGGTGATAGATTTTTGCCTAACTTAAGGTAGTTGCCTCAGAAAGCATCTGTATTTCTCAAACTAATGATGGATGATGAAGACAAGGCATGTGGAAACTCAGCGTTTCAGATGGGGAAAAAAAGAATTCTAACTTCAAATTAACTTCATACCTAATTGTTTACATTTTGAATATATTTTTATGTCTAGCATCTCAGTTGTACCTGTTCCTGCAGCTGTTCTTTCCTTTCCACACTTTAGGCTTGGTGTAAACAACACTACGGAGAGAAAATGACCCACTGGTTCCACCGCAACCCTTTGAAGGCTACAGCTCCTGTTTCATTTAATTATTATGGGGTAGCCACCACTCCAGCTGCAGCAAAGGTTTGCAAGTAAGTGTTCCTTTGACTAATTTCACTCTGTTTGGAGGACATCCTTAAAAGTAATGGTTACTCTTCAGTTTTTGAGCTGAAGATGACTGGAAGTGTAGGCAGCGAGACAGTAAGACACTGCTAACACTGAACATTTGATTACAAAGAATGAATTCTCCAGTTTTCAAGTCTCTGAGTGCACAGCAAGGCCAATTATAACAATGCAGCAGCAAAAGACGAAACATTTCATTGTCTTTCTGACGACTGTGCATTCCTGTGCAAAATATTCCTAATTTCCATAAGTGGATAAGGCCTGACTGTTCTGTTGTAGATAGGAATGTAATGGAAAGAGATCTCAGCTTATTTTGCAGATCTGTTCTTATCTCTTCATCTCACCCCGTTCTAATGTTGAAGAATGTTCCTGCTTGTTACTTCCCTTCCCCTGCACCCAACCTCTTGGTAGGTAAAGGCACAGTTATTTTAGTTTGCATTAAAACAATAGATTGAGTACTGATTATTCATTGCTGTCTGTCCAAAGTGGATTGTGATAAAGAGTCAGTCATGTCCATCCAAGGAAGAAAGGACGATTTTTCTATATTTATTGGCATCTTCCTCATAAAATCCCTTTCCAGGCCTTCAGGTAGCTAAATGGGATGCTTAGCTTCACCTTCTGATCCCAAAGGGTTGTGCTATACGTGGGTGGGTACTTTCTATAGTACCTTTTGGAGTAGAACATCCTAGGTTTATTTTTTTCTTTTATTTTTTTTTTTCTCCTCCACGTAGTGATTTGAGGTTATCCCGAACACGACTCTTGGAGCTGTTTACAGACTCCAGTTGTAATCCAGAAATGATGAAGAATGCAACTGACTTGTACTTTTCACTCCTGCAAGGTAGGCAATGCTACTGATACATCAGGAGGTGTATCAGCTGAGTTTTAATGGCACTTCTCAGAGTGTGTATTGTGCTGATCTTCTGTAAGGAAGCTTTGCACTTTTTAGGAAGGAGAATGTCTGTGTGGGTTCTGTGCTTGATACCAGTCATGGGTACTCACCAGGCCCTTTCTCCAAGTTTCGGTGTGTTTCGTGACCCTGCTGGTACTATGTGATGGCAGTCCTGTCCTCCTCCTTTTAACCTTATCCTGCTTCCTGCTGGAGGAGGAAATGATTATTTGTCTCTTAGGTAGTGGTGAGTTGTTCCTTAAGTACAAGTTGAGTCTGTTAATCAGTTGATAGGATTCGCTCTTCAGTGTAAACTTCTAGTTTGTCTAATACCAGATCATAGACCTGTTGCAAGTTTACACTTCTGCTGCTTGTCTTAGGTGTACATATAGGTGCTCATTAGCATGGGATCTACATTTTCAGTAGATGGTCAGCTGTGATCATTCCCTTGAAATCTCCCTCCTGCCGATATTTTGATGATTCCTCTCAGCCAAGTTTCCCAAGTTTCTTGGGACTGAGTTTTCAGGAGTCAGCTGATTCATGGAAACTGATCTTTCAGTCTGTGGAAAGTGAAGCAGCTCACATTGGTTTAGTTTCCTCAGTCCCTGGGAGGGTGTAAGCCAGTGCCACATCTGGATAAAGGTGAGATAGGAGTTGATGTCGCTGCAGTCAAGATTTGGAGAGTTGCTTCGGGAAAACATCATGCTTGGCCACTAAAATCTTCTACATGTGAAAGGAATGAGTATTTTTCATCTTTATAAACATGTGACAGCACCTAAAGTTGTGGCCCCAAAAGCTGCTGTGGCTAGTCTTGAGTTCTTAAAGTCTGTAAGACCTAATCAGACCAAGGTGTTTCTTAAGCCTCCCTGAAAAATTCCTTGGGCCTGCATATGCTGGGATTTGAACATCTCATAGCGTGAGCTTATCCCACTAACTGCTGCTTTCTGGGCTGCTGGACATAAAGAGCCAATTTCCTGTAGCCCTGGAGACCAAAGAGGTGATGACTGGGTGAGTCAATGCTTACAAGCCCTTTTCCCTCTCTCTTTTGACCAGGAAGCTTTTCCTGGAATTTCCTGATTGCCATTATGGTGGCAGGGAGAGCCACTCACTCACCTCAGGCAGCCTCAGCCATCCTGTACCTGGGTCAGTCCAACTCCTAATTAGTCACAAACATCTGCAGGGTTTTCCTTGAGCAGTCAAGACTCACAGGGTTGATTTGGTAACCTGCTGGGCAAGAAGTTTCTTGTAGTAGCCAGTTTGGTTTTTTTCTAAATTTTGCTCTCAAGATACTAAGGAATAAAAGCCTCAGGAAGTAACACGGATTTTTGGTGCAGAAAGAAACATTCCTTTATCTCTATCTGTATTCTTACTGATCCCTCTCCTTCATTCCTTTTTTCTGTTTCTTACTTTGAGATTGCCTGTCAGTACCTTTTTTTATTCCATAGGTTTTATCCTTTCACTGGATAACTCTTCCCAAGAGTGCAAGTTGAGATACATTCAGAATTTCAAGTGGACAGACACGTTACAAGGACAAGTCCCAAGGTGCGTGTGCTTCTATGAATAGAGGGTATGCAGCTGTTGTCTGCTGCTCTGTTAGAGATGTGCTCATGTGCCACCACAGGCCTGAAGAAAAGCTGAGAAGTGTAGCAAAGTGTTGGACACAAAGTAGTTTCCAAAAACATGTTTCTGTTTGTTTT